TTGAGCATGGTGATCAGATCATGATATGAATAAACATAACAGTTTCAATAATGTACCAGTAAGGCCTTCTCGTGGACCACCATCAGAATTTAGGGGGGGGGCTGAAGCCCCCAAGCCCCGCCGTCCCCCCGTCTACATGCCTGGTAGTAGTTAAAGAGAACATTCTAAGGATTATTTCTGTGTTTGATTTATTAAAATATTCCCATCCAAACTTAAGTAACAAAGATGGAGGCATTACTTTTCCTTCAACCCTTGTATATCATCATAGATATCCATGAACCACTGAATTATCAACACAGCTGGTAGGAAATTTAAGGGATTTGATTGCCTTTTCCCCCTGCCACCATTATGACAATAATCAGTACTATTTGCAATCATTCTGTGATCTATACCTTACAGTCATCATATTTTTGAGCCACAATTGCCATCATCAATGATGGTAGGCAATGCTGGCTGAGGCTGATGGGAGGTGGAGCTCCATAACATTTGAGTTTCTTATACCTTTTAAAAGAAAATGGATTCCTGTAGACTTGTAGTACTGGTTACCTGTAGAAATCAAAAAAATACCCTCCCCCAAATCTCGGCACATACCAACATGCTGCTTAGGGCAAAAAAAAAAAATCTAATGCTGGATGAAAGAAAAGGTTTTATATATGTATGAGGAGATATTAATTGCTGAAAAAATTGCCATGGGCAATTCTTACTTTAGCATGCACACAGGTTTGGATTACTACAGACTATGTTCTTTTCCCTCTCCAATTTTATTCTTTTCACACTAACCCATTCTTTGCATTCCCTTTGTGGCCAAGATCCAGGAGAGAAATCTCTGTGATTATCAGCATTCCCACCCTCAAAAAGCATGAGGCAACAGGAAAACTCCACAGACTGTGGCCAGAACAAAATCAAACAATGACCATCCCCAGAGACAACAATGCTCCATTGTCCTGCATGGCCTTTTCAGTCTTTTCCATTCTAATTCCTGAGAAGCCACTGTTAACAAAGGAGCAGCTAGAAGCCACTTCCTCCTCCTCCTTCTCCATACCAGGGCATATCCTGCTTGGGGCAGGAGATGTATCATCTTGATCTAATAATTTAGAGACTCTGCTGTTGAGGGATTGAGGAGAAGGGGGAAAACCCTCACCAAGCACTTCAGATTTAGTAATTGTAGTGAAAATAAATGAAGTGGAGAGTGGACTATTTTTCCACGATTATGGAAAGAACAAAAGAGTATTGTTTCCTCCTGATTTCGTGTTGCTTGAATTCATGGCAAAGAACAGCAGCAATATGGATATTTTTCTAAAGATTATGGTAGATTTGATCTGTGGGAAGAATCAGACCCTTAATAACGCATACTTTCTAGGACACTAGCAAGTAAATCCCAGACCAGGATTGGGAAATATGTGCAGTTTGGAAAGGGGATCCAAGACATCCCTTTAGATACCTTTTGCTTTCCCTAAACCTCTTTGTGTTTTGCTTGTTTGTTTGTTTAAAAAATGCAACATAACTGTTTAGTCTGCTCCTGACACGATAAATAAATAACCTAAACCTCTACAACTAAAAACCAATGTCACTTGGAGTGGTCCAAAACGGCAATTGCAAGGGCTACTGTGAGTCTCTGGCTAAGACAAAATTGGCAGCCCGATATGATCCAGTATGTACTCACCTTTGCTTTGAACTCTTAGGATCGATCAACCTTGTTATGGGACTCTTTCATATTAAACAGATACAGTGCTATTATTTCACTTGAACTAGTATGGTTCTACCTTATAGAATCCTGGGCTTTGAAGAGGTGTATGGCAGAGATTTCTAAATCCTCTTCCCCATTCTGCCAGCCCAAGGATTGTATAGGATGGAAAGGGAATCATAATTCCTATATTGGGAGAAATGCAGGATAAATTAATGTGCAATGTGAAAAGGCCCTTGGTTTCATTTCAGTTTGAACTAATTTCCCAAGATCCATCAACTCAAGCCTAATGCAAGACAGTTATAAATAAAACACTGTAAGCTCAGAAAACTGCTTTTAGTTCCAGGGCTAGAAAGAACTCACAATTCTTTTACAGAGCAATTAATTACAATTTTCTTCATTTCATGGGGTCAATAGTATTTTTTACTGCTATTGTTAAACATTTGGAAGTTAGTAATTTTTGCTTAACTATCTGTAAATCATAGAATCATAGAGTTGGAAGAGACATCGCTGTCTATCCAGTCCAACCCCCTGCCAAGAAGCAGGAAAATTGCATTCAATGCACCCGCGACAGATAGCCATCCAGCATCTGTTTAAAAGCCTCCAAAGAAGGAGCCGCCGCCACACTCTGGGGCAGAGAGTTCCACTGCTGAACAGCTCTCTCAGTCAGGAAGTTCTTCCTAATGTTCAGGTGGAATCTCCTTCCCAGTAGTTTGAAGCCATTATTTCGCTTCCTAGTCTCAAGAGCAGCAGAAAACAAGTTTGCTCCCTCCTCCCCATGACTTTCCCTCACATATTTATACATGGCTGTATGTCTCTTCAACCTTCTCTTCTGCAGGCTAAACATGCCCAGCTCTTTAAGCTGCTCCTCATAGGGCTTGTTCTCCAGACCCTTTATCATTTTAGTCACCCTCCTCTGGACACAATC